ATCCATGGCTTGCGCGTTCTCCATCGTCCGAGTGTCGCCGAAAAGAAAGTACTGAGAAGAAGGTTACACCGAGAAATTGGCACAAGAAAGCAAACGCAAACCTCCAAAGCGGGGGCTGCTACGCTGCACCTTGAGCCTCACACGCATGAATGGATCTCCAAATATTCTTCTCCTTATTGATGCCCTGTAGCAGCCTCCGTGTGGTGTGCCAAGAGGAATCAATACAGGAACCCGGGCGCAGCAGGTGCTTGGCTGATGTTAACCCAAGTCGCAGCACTGTTGGCCAAGAGCCGAAGAAAATTTGGCAAACCGCTGCGGAAAGCTTGCACTGAAGAACCACCAAAATCATCTTCCATGGTGAACCGGAATGGACAAATGATTTGGCGTGTTGAAGAGAAATGCTCGAAAGCAGGGAAGCGCCTCAGGTGATAGGCTTCTCGGCTCCTAGCGGGCTTCAAGAAACATGGTGCCCCAATTTGACAGGCGATGGGCTTTCCGGACCTGAAAGGTCGCTGAGTGACTTGCGAGTTTTGCATATGAGCATGGAACAGCTCAGTTGGGTGCATTTTTGGACGACGATGTTTCGGTGCAGTCTGACTTCGCTACAGGTGCAGTATGCCGGGCTCTAAAGATCATCAAAATGTATGGAGCATGCTCTTCAACACTGGAAACAGATTCGTGGCCCAAAGTACCAACCCAATGAATCGTTCGAGGTCTTTTTCTGGCAAGTCTTGCCTTCGACGAAGGTCTTAGACCATTTCCAAGAGCTTAAGCCTGTTAGATTCTTTGAGCATGACAATGCCCGCCGAGAATTGAAAGTCCCAACCCATCCAACTGACTCGAAAAGCAAGCTGCAGTTTGTGCCAGGAGAGTGGTTCGCCCGTGCACTGAAAGATGCAGATCATGGCCCCCGTTGCGGGGAGAACCGACACGGATCAGGAAGGGTCTTTGCCGAAGCAAGCGGATGTCAGAACTCGGGGAGGCAGGCTCCGGCAGCACCACAAGCAGGGCAGGCCCAGTACTTTAATATGGGTCGCCTCCACAGTCGTCTACTACGCCTACTTTGCCCCAAGAGTTGCCTGCAAACCAAGGGAGCCTGGACAGCAACACTGTGAATCTGATGCAGGCCCAGAACGAGCAGATCAGGGCCCAAGCCTCCCAAGTGCAACAGTTGACAGACCTTGTCAAGAACCTGGCGCTTGTTGGAGCACAGAACGCTGCTCAGGCTGCGTCCGCAAGTGGTCCGGCAACTGCCCGCAAGCCCCTGCAAGCTCTTCAGGTGATCCGTCGCGTCCCGCTCCGATGGTTCTGTCCTATCTGACCCAGACGCCCTACCAGGCCGGTCAGGCCCTGCAAGACGCCCGCCTCAACGGGCACGATGC